GCGGGAGGACTCGCCGGCATCCGAATTCGAAATTGCGTGGGCAGCGCCCCCGCATTACGGGAGAGCTCGGGAAAACGCTTCGCTCCCTCGTAACCTAAGACCAAGCGTCGCCAAGAACATGAGTCCCCTTGGCGACACCAGCGACAATCAAACTGCGGCCGTCACGCGGCGTGAGCGGCCGACCAGGGCAACACCGTCAAACCCGTATAAGGCAATATTAGAGTCGGGGAATCAAAGCGATCAATCAAGAGAAACCCGTTCCCCCTTATATTACACGCCCGAGGCGGGTCTCGCCAACACACTTGCTCCGTCCGTCTCAGCGCGCGCCGTACGTCCGCATTGCAGTAGACGCTGTCCTCATCTGCAATGGGGAAGGTCGGTAGCGAGAGGAGACGATCGGAGGTGCGCGATGAACACGAGCAAGATCCCGCGCTCCCGGTCATCCGAACCAACACCGACTCCATACAACACTCGACGCAACTCTTCTATCTCAAAAGTGGGTGCGTCGGGGGAAGAAGACGAAATCTAAGCTCTCTTCCCCTTGCGGGGGCGTCGACCGTCCGCGCGGACGCAGGCGGTTGACGTCACCGGGACAGGGACGAGAAGTTCAAAAGCGATGACAATCAGTTCCAAAAAGAAAGGTGATAGAGAGAGAGTGAGTTACACCGATACTGCGCGTGCGCGCAGGAAAGGCCGCGGAGGGGAGGGGAACAACAGGATCAACACACTCATACTCCTAAGCAGACGGTCCCCCAGTTCAATTCCCCCGTCCCCGCCCGGACAAGTACATACACACATACATGCACGCAATCAACAACCCTTGACAGGAGATCTAATCATCCATAGACCTTCGACCTCACTCCCATCTCTCGGGGCTTCACACACACGACATGCATAGACAAAGCAGCAATGGAGTTAAAAGCGAGTCCTTCTTGTACACAAAAATTCTCAATTAGTTGCCGCCCCCAGGCACAGCCTTCAAACCTCCCAAGACCACAGACCACCATAGCCACAAGGCCCTGCCGCGGCCGGCGTCCAATCCCCACCACTGCTCAGTCCCTCCGACTGCTTTGCCTCGAGACTACCGCGGGTCCACCCCACGTCGTCACTCCGCCCGTCCTTGGGATCGTCGAGCCTGTTCCGCGCCGCGGACTTTCGCGCATAGCTCGCGCAGCATTGCAGCCAAGATCAAAGAGAGGGAGAGGAGAGGGTTGCGCGAATTTATAGCGCGGGAGGCGGCGGGTTGTCAGCGCGAGGTGGGGGCAGCGCAGGGTGTAGATGAGCAGGACAAAAGAAAGGTGGGGAGTCAAAGGGTTCGACCCGCGGGGTTGCATGGTCCTACGTGATTGGGGTGTTCGTTCAAGTGGTGCGCGGTTTCCCGCTCTCCACATTAATCTGAGCATCCCAACTACGCAGCCAATCACTTCGCGGAAGAAGACAGGGTAAGGATCAAGCTGGGCGTAGGGGAAGACGAAGAGTCCGGCCTGAGGGAAACGCGCGCAGCAAGAGAGGAAGATGGCGCGGGGATGCAAAGCAAGAAACGGGGGTGCGAGACGCGCGAAGAAGTCAGAGCTTAGGCGTGTGCGCGCAAAAATTCAAAAAGTCCAAACCGAAACCGTTTCTTGGTTTTCATACCGCGGCCGCTATTCGCCCGCGCGCGAATTATTTAGCCGGAAAGAAAAAGAAATGAAAAAGCCGTTTCAAAAAGAAAAGCAAAAAGCAAAAAGAAAGAAAAACCCCTTCCTGTTCGCATCCGTACTCCGGGGCTCCCGGGGGATTTTTCCTCAGGGATGCGGCAAGCCGCGCGGTACGGATCTGAGCTAATCACACGCCGTCTGCCATGGCGCGTTGAACTGTCAGTCTTCCGCGAAAATCTCAATATTCTCTATTTCTGCACATAAAAAAAACACGGTGCAAAGCTTCAAAAACACCTCCCCCCCCCAGAAAAAACCATAGAATTGAAGCTTCCCGCCAATGCAAAACGGCCAACTAAATGGCCAACAAATAAATTTAAAAATTTTCTACTGGCCGATGGGCAGCAACCTCCACGAAAATGAAGACTACTATTGACACGGCTGCAAGTGATCGAAAACCACAGAGCACAGGCGTAGATCGGACCTAGGCAAGGACCCCACAGGACCGTGGAAAGGAAAAACTTAGCCGCAAAACCGTTTCCAGGACGCCACAGCCTGCCGCAAATGTCCTGGAAAAGGTGAAATTTCTTCCGCAAACCCTTTTCCAGGACCCCACAGACCAAAGAAGTCCCCGTGCAATCAGGCTTGCACGGTGTCTGCTTTAACCGGGGCTGAGCAGGGGGTAGGCACCTCTGCTTAGCCCCTGTACCTGCAACCGCTGTCTGGTCAGATCACCCCGCCATGATGGCAATGGGTGATGGTCCTGGGTGGTTAACAGTAGGGTAGGACAGGGGGGGGTGGGGGTGCGCCAGGGCAAAAAGATAAGAGGAAGGGTGGGTGGGGTCTTCAGAGGG